ATCTGTTGGTCCTACTGACTTAATTTTCAGTTTGACCTCACAGTTCTCCTTGGAGCTTTCACAGTCATTTTCAGGATAGTAGATCGCTGGTTGAGATGTTCCATGTTTTAACCAGAAGAATCGCTGCTCTCCTGAACAAGATCCTCTTTCCACGATGCAACTTAAGTCCAACTGTTGTCCGACCCAAAGTTCTCTCTTCTCTTCTTGCTCCTGAACTACGGATTTTTCATTAGAAGTGTTTGACTGAACATGCACAAAAACGCCGTCGCCAAATTCGATCTCAGTGAATACTTCAACTCCGCAGAAGTAACTTGCCGTGTCATTCGCCTGAAGATCGGTAATTTTCAGGTTGTTGGTTTCTTTTTTGTCTCTGGTTTGGAAAATGTGGAATCTTTGCTGGAAGACTGGCTCGACTACCGGTTCTTGGATGCCTTTTAACCACATTGGATATCAGTTCAGGTTTTTCTCCCAACTTCTGCTGGTACCAAGTGAAGAAGGTCATTTGGTCGTCTGCACATGAGCAATGCAATGTCACGCTGTCTCCAACTTTAACTATCTTCAATCCACTGTCTTGAATTACAGTTGAGGTTTTCGATGTTCCCATGACAACACCTGATGAAAGCAAAGATTCAATTTAGTTTTTTGCACCAATGTATTCTTCACATTCTCAACATGAATCAACATGAATAAAAGATACTTTTTCAACAAACATAAAAAAAAAAAAAAAAAAAAAAAAAAGATCTAAAGGTTCTAAATTTAAGGTTTTGAGCAGTTTTGAGTTTGTTTTTACATCCCACATGTGTTCATTCATAGTTTTGATGCCAAGAGCGTTGGTTTGGTCTCAGCTTTGAAACCAAACCAACTGATAGGTTACTTGATTAACAGATTAATTATATATAATATTCTTTACTTCTTGTATGATGCACACTGCTAAGATGATTGTTTAGCGGGTCACAGTGATGTAGCATTTTGTAGCAGATTTCCCTTTGCTTGTTGATGATGAGATATTTGTGAGATAAGATAAGATAATCCTTTATTGTCTCCCATGGAAGAAATTTGTCTTGGGACAGGGGGTAACATGCTTTATCAAAAAACAGGACAACACAACACAAAGCACCACATAAACAAACACCATAGAACAAAATAAATATGAGACCAAGTATGACCACAAGTGATGCACCAACAGGACCTTTAAATTATTCTAATTAACAAGGCAAGCCCTTGCATTCTTGTATTCTATTAATAATTGCACATTCCCTAAGCCTATGTGCAGTTTTAATTCATGAGGAGAGTGAGGTCATGTCTGTACATTTTTCCATGGAATATTGTTGGCAGAGTCGCTCTTTCTCCACAGTGACTCATTCTAAGGCAAGTTTAACGGAAGATGAAGCCAAGTAAGTTCCTTTTGAAAAAGTTTTTCAAAGTTTGGTTCACTCACTCCTGCTCAAGTGGCCATCTTCAGGTGCGGCCCTGTCCTGCCGCTTCCCCAGTTTAGGCTCCTGGCTCCACTAATGACATCACTCTGTTACAGCCAATGAAACAGCGGCAGGAGTAACCCTGTCGTCATATCACTGAATACATCTCAGAACGTCAAATAAACAAAATGTGAACTAAAACATGTTCAATTAATACTACTGAGTTTGGAAAAATATTTGAATAAATGTATGTTTTTGTTTATTAAAATAAAATGTCAAATATTACTGGGGACTATTTTGTTTTCCCCAAATATTGGTTATGACATTTCCCCACTGTCCTTATGTAAACCTACTCCCCTCTTTGATGGTTTCAGTGAGAATCTACAATGTGAATAGTCATAAAAATAAAGACCATTAAACGTGTGTCCAAACTTTTGACCAGTAGTGTACATAAATATATATTATGCATTTAACTTTGTGTTGGTTCAGAACCTGCTTGTCTCCATGGATATTTAATCACTATTAGCCTAGAATGTCCCACAGCATGACATTCAACTTATTTTCATTTATAAATGACTGCAAACATATTTTGTCATGTTTTTAGCAATAACTGTGACACATTCCCTGTAAAGACATAAGATCCTCATGAGGTGAAGCAGGTGACAGACTCTCGGTAAACATCCACATAAACATTGTATGAAAACATGCAGCTTTGCCAGTTGTAAGTGTGTGTGGTACTTACAGTCTTGCCAGGAAAACAGGAGGAAAAAATAAAGCCACATCATCTTGGACAAATTCAGAATTTCAAATTTTAAATCTGCTTCGTCTGTATCTTATCGAGATGAACACTTGAGGCATGTGCCGTTTTTACTGTGTTGAGCACAAAGCAGAGGCAGTTTTTTTTCCACTTCATGTGTGGTTGATGTGAGGTCTGCCCCTTTTAGGTTGAGTTGTGTGCAGTGAACTGAAGAAAAAGATCAAATGGCAATGTGGGGCAAACTTCTCAAAATGTCCTTAAAGACCCTGTAGTATGCTATTTTCTGATCTGTCTTATAATGTTTCCTCAGCACAAACATACATGGAGTTGTGTTTTGTTTCATTCACGTTTCACTTACAAATCCTGCATATTTAGGGTCACTTCTTCTCTCAAGCTGAAAACACTTTGTCATGTCATGTAGTAATACAAGGAAGTGCTCCACTATGTTATTAAAGTCCCTACACCTTCACTAGAATCATTTGGATGATTTCAGAGCTCAAATTTCTGATCTCAACTAAACTAAAGGTAAAAGGAACTGTTAACTTGAAAACTACCACTTCATGACATCACAAGGAGGAACAGAGAATTTTGAGCTTTGTAGATGTAGACAGACAAATAATAAAGAGTTACTAAAACATTTGTGAATGAAACAAAACACAGCTCCATTATAATATGGCTTAAGTCTCAGTAGTTTTGTATAATACAGGATTTTTAAAGGAGACATACATAATTATGTATGTATGCAGATTTGATAGTGGACTCCCCTTGTTCTTAAACATGTGCATCATTAATTGGACAAGGTTTGTATTGAGGTCAAGTGTCTGGTTGTTCCTCTCTACATGACTCTTTCTGGAGTGTTTTTCACATAGTATTAAGCATAAACACATCTTGAATAAAAGTGACTTGACTGCAAGTCAAAAGTTTGGACACACCTTCTCATTCAGTGTTTGCTTTGCTTTATGTTACTACAGTCTACATGTTAGATACATACAGAAGACATTAAATATATAATGCAAGAATTATGGAATTATGTAACAAAATGTTAAATATCAACATACACACACACACACACACACACATATATATATATATATATATATATATATATATATATATATATATATATATATATATATTTTTTTTTTTTTTTTTTTTTTTAGGTTTGAGCCAAGGGACAAAGTCCCAGCGAGAGACTCATTAGTATTTCTCACAAATGATGTCATATTGAAGTGGATCGAATGGAACATTTGTGCACATCGATGACCTGAATGCAATGATGTACAATATATGGAGGCTTGATATAAAAGTGTTCTACAGCACCTCATTGAACATTTAAAATGGGTCAAAAAATATTGTTTGTTGAAGACAATTCAGATTTGCCACAAACATTCGTCTTGCCACACTGAACCAAAAAGCCAGTGCGGACATACCTCTATCTCCAACTGTGCAGGCATGACACATGACATGACATGTCAGAAATGATCTCATTGGAATGAATGGCTGATTTTGCGGTGATGAGAAGCAGGATCTTCGCTGTGGCATGTACCCTGCAGTCGCAAGGAGTAGTTAAGGGCCTTTAATGTCACATCTGGATAATATCTCTTTGCTTTGTTGACTTTGCTACAAACCTTTGGCTTTCTCTCAGTGAGCCTGGTCACATGGTAAATAGTAACAGTTTATATAGTGCTTTTCTGCCTGGAATGTGCCACCCTGGAAATGTTGAACAATCTGTGCAACTTCTGTAGGGTTAAAGAATCACCTCATACTCACAGTAATGAAAATCACTCTCACCAAATTCAGCACAATTAGAAAACCAGCTAAAAAGACCAAAAGGGAGAAACTTGAAATGAGCTCCACATGTAAACCCAGTCCTGTTTTTAGGGGTTGTGTCATTGGTGCCGCTCTAGTGCACCTATAGACGTATAGGAGTCTTCATTGGCAGAGCTATATGTTTTCATACAATGTCTAGTATTAAAATATGTAGCTTTGCCAATTTTGAACTTGTGCTGTGGAAAAAATAAAGCCACATAATGTTGAACAAATAACAAAATTGTAATTCAAAATCTATTTGGTCTGTATCTTGGTGAGATGTGCATGTGGTCAGTTGAGGTTTATGGCAATACTTGCTGTTTGCAGTTATTGTGTAAGGGTCTTAACACAGGAAGTTTTTTTTTTCCACTTCATATGTGGTTGACTTGAAATGAGGTCTGTGCTCATTTTAGGTTGAGTTGTGTGCAGTGAGCTGAAGAAATAGGTCAAATGGCAGTGTGAGGCATACTTCTCAAAATGTACTTCAGTGTATCTTCTCCTGTTTTTATCTTTTGTAGGTGAAGCACTTTGTGAGCTATGTCTGTGAAAAGCACTAAGATAAATAAACTTTACTTCCTTACAGCGCCTGTATTACACTATTTTCTCATCTATGTGTAGCAGAGCAGCATATTTGTACATGTACTTCAAGGTAGTAAAGTTGCCAACAACGCCACCTGGTAATGCCAGGACACAGTGTTTTTCCCCACCCACTATAGACACACAGGTTTGTTGACTGAATATGGCGTGAGACTTGAATATACTTTACATTGAATTTATTATCCATCTTTGCAAAAGGTTAATAACAAATATCCTCCACCAGTCCTGTGCGTTCATTGGGTCGCATGGCCTCGTTGCTTGGAGTTACCTTAGGACCATTATCACAGTCAATATTGCGCCTCGCAGTAGCTCTTCCCCCAAGACGAAGACTTCAGAGAGCGAGTCCTTTCACCAAGGGCCACGACCACAGAACAGACCAGGTACACGGAGAATATTAAAAGAGAAAGAAAAGGGAAAGAAAAGGGGAGGCTTCCCGCCAGCAGGAGCCTAAATATAACATATTACATTTAACGTACAATACACACGACAAAGAGGAACACAAAATAAACCATAGCGACATACCGTGTAGAATTCACCGCGGCACGCCACCCAAACACGCAGAGGACCGCCCAGCGCCGAGACACAAAAGCTAAAAAACACAACCTGCGTTAACCTCACACACGGCGTTACTGAGCCAGCAAGACGATTTCCCCACTTACCCCCACGATGCCCGCACACTCTCCGCAATTACTGCGCTGAACACCTTGCAACAGTAAACTTAGTGCGCCTAAACGTGGTCCACTCGGGGCCTCGCGTCTTGCGGCCATGACAGCTTGGCTCCGCCAGCGTGCAACGTCAGCGGTCGGCGTTCAGGAGGGAGGGGCGAGCGTAGCGCATAGTGCCCCTTTTATAGGCGGGTTTGTGACCCATAAACCCGATACTATCACATTTGCCCCCCCAAATTGCATCGGCGACCCGACGATGGAAATTTTAAGAACCAGTCATTCCCAGACAGGCGTGGTAATCATATCAAAACCCTCTCTGTTTTACCCTAGATGCATCACCTTCCGTCCCCGAATATTCGGCATGACGCAACTCGTAAAACGGTAACGCTATTTAAAACAAAATTGCCGTACTGTTGCAGCGGCGCACTCGACCGCGATCATTCCCAAAGTCCACGATTAAAAGGAAATGCCCTAAAGGCTTAAGAGTTACTTGGGGCCCACGTACTTTTAAACCAGCTACTCTCCCACGAGCCTACACCAGTCATTTTCAACAAGTACGCCGCCATGACACCTAGACCCCTGGGGCCTGCGATGAGAGCAGCCCCACTATGCCCCCCCACCACACCTGAAAATCCTACCCCGGACGTCGAGCTTTCGCAGAAGCCTCCCCTTTATCTCTTTGAAACAGTATCAGTCGCAATTCCACCATCTACATACAAATACAGACAAGAGGTAAAAAGAAAACATTGCATACATTTTCAGTGTGCCCTGTAGCCGTCACAGAAATAACATTTTGCCTAAGTCCACCTGTACCAAGCACAGAACAAAATATGCATTCCAACATAAAACTACACACAAAATAAAAATGCAAACCACACTAGAAACTTCACATGAATGCATTAAACACAGGGGGGTCATAGCCTACGATATCCTGTACGCACAGCCTTAGCAGCACCATTATATATACACACAATGTAATCTTAATTCCTCTATGTCACCACACACAGAGAAGTACATTAGTCTGCCATAATTCAGTCATCCTGCCAACAACGCCAAAATGTAGCAGAGCAGCATATTTGTACATGTACTTCAAGGTAGTAAAGTTGCCAACAACGCCACCTGGTAATGCCAGGACACAGTGTTTTTCCCCACCCACTATAGACACACAGGTTTGTTGACTGAATATGGCGTGAGACTTGAATATACTTTACATTGAATTTATTATCCATCTTTGCAAAAGGTTAATAACAAATATCCTCCACCAGTCCTGTGCGTTCATTGGGTCGCATGGCCTCGTTGCTTGGAGTTACCTTAGGACCATTATCACAGTCAATATTGCGCCTCGCAGTAGCTCTTCCCCCAAGACGAAGACTTCAGAGAGCGAGTCCTTTCACCAAGGGCCACGACCACAGAACAGACCAGGTACACGGAGAATATTAAAAGAGAAAGAAAAGGGAAAGAAAAGGGGAGGCTTCCCGCCAGCAGGAGCCTAAATATAACATATTACATTTAACGTACAATACACACGACAAAGAGGAACACAAAATAAACCATAGCGACATACCGTGTAGAATTCACCGCGGCACGCCACCCAAACACGCAGAGGACCGCCCAGCGCCGAGACACAAAAGCTAAAAACACAACCTGCGTTAACCTCACACACGGCGTTACTGAGCCAGCAAGACGATTTCCCCACTTACCCCCACGATGCCCGCACACTCTCCGCAATTACTGCGCTGAACACCTTGCAACAGTAAACTTAGTGCGCCTAAACGTGGTCCACTCGGGGCCTCGCGTCTTGCGGCCATGACAGCTTGGCTCCGCCAGCGTGCAACGTCAGCGGTCGGCGTTCAGGAGGGAGGGGCGAGCGTAGCGCATAGTGCCCCTTTTATAGGCGGGTTTGTGACCCATAAACCCGATACTGTCACATATGTTATAATGTTGTTTCCTCATCAAGAACAGACCTGGAGTTGTGTTTTGTTTCATTCACGTTTCACACACATATCCAGCACTTGTAGGGTCAGTTCTTCTCTCAAACTGAGAACAATTCATACACCTACACTAGAATCAATTAGATCATTTCCAACCTGGAATTGTTGGTAAAAGATAGCAGGTCATAGCACTTCTCGGTGTTCCAAAACAGTTTCACTCCACTTAAAACTGAAAACAAAAAAAACAAAATGCAGGATCTTGAACAGAAACCTCCCACAGACAATGAGCTTACATAAAATGTTGGCCTTGGACGGCTCAGAGATCCAAATTGTTGATCATTACAAGAACAAAGGCATATGGCTCGATTCTTCATTTCATTTTGAAAGACACATTAACAGTCTACTCACTAAAGCCAAACTAAGAATAAGTTTCCTTTATCAACATAAAATCAGTTTCACACACCCTACAAAAGAGCTTTTGGTTAAAACTACAGTCCTCACGATCAATGACTGTGGAGACTTAGTTTACAGATCTGCATCAAAAACACTGTTCCATAAGCTCCATGTGATTTATCACACAGCCTCTGCTTTGTCACAGGTGTTTACCATTTACCACCATCACTGTGCACTTTGGTCCTTCCACATCCACAGCTCCAGACACACACCAACAGACACCTGAACCTGGTCGTTCTAAAGCTGCACAGCTTTGGGACGCTCCTCATTTCAGTTCTGCAGCAGAGACTGGATCCACCTTCAACACACTTTTTTTTTTTGTTTTTTCCTCTGTCGACTTTTAAAAGCTCCATCCAGAGTATTTTACAGGCTCACTTCACATGCTTTTAACATTTTTATATCTTTAATCTGCAAATATTTCACTGTCTCATGTTCTGGTTGATGTGAGAGTTTGTTCTGTTTGTGCTGTTTTATACTAGACAGACTGGCGCCACCTAGTGCCTCCGCTCAATTTCATTTCTCTCCAGCGACTAGGTCAGGAATCAGAATACACTAGATGGTTTGCAAGAACCCTGGACAAAGGGTAAATTTAAAAAAGTACCCGCCTACCATTGAGCAAATGAATCCTAATGCTGCAAGGTCACACGGTTTCTACGAAGTGAAACCATCTGATGAATCAGGCTAGTTTTATTCTGCCTCTTGGCCACGTCGTCATTGCAAATGAAAGTGTGTTCTTAATGGACCTACCTGTTAAAATATTGAATAAATAAAATAAGTAAATAAAATAATTTGAAATAACTCATTCTGTCTTCAGTTATATCCTTAAAATTAGAGATTGTTTTGGTCAGACAGGAGAGTATGTTGACCTGCTTTACATGTTTCAGTTGTCTACATGATGTTGGAGTGCTCGCTCTTGTAGGCTGCTTTTCTTGGATTTGTCAGACAGTAGGGGGCGTGAGCTTCCAGAGAGACTTCTTGTAGCAGGAAGTAGTTGAAATATGTACAGCAGGTAAACAAAGAATCTCCAAGGTAACACATGACATTTTTGGATCATTGTTTTACCTTTTATTGCTTTGAAAATGCTGCTGTAACTATGAGGATCTCCTGGAAAACGATAGCGAGACTTCTCAAGGAGCTTATCCTCCAAACAAATACATTCAGATGACTATATTCACTGATGTTAAAGGGATAGTTTGGGTTTTTTGACATCAATCTGTATGTCATCCCCGTGAGCAGTGTCGTGCATCCACACTGACTTACCCCCGACAGCGTCCGGTGAGCCCAGATACTGGCCGTTTTCGGTGCTGACGAAAGTAGACCAGCAAGTTGTCTGGGGACATGAAAATAAAGTGTTTTTCAACAATCTGTGTTCAAAAGAGTGATACATTTGCATCACAAAACCATCATCCTCCAAAAAGTCAGACCTCATAATCAATTGGCACTATTTTCTCTCCGTTCGTATCACTGCGCTCTGCCGCCAGGTGACAGTCGCGCACGAATCCGTCACTTTCTTCAATTGTTTGGCAGGGTTTACATGCTCAGACCACCAGGACGCAAGAGAGCTGACGAGAGAGCTAGTGCCATAAGTATATAAGATTGTATCAGATACATAAGAATAAATCTAAAAAATGGTGCGAACTCTTGTTTATCCAAGCTGGCGGCCACAATATATTATATCAAAACAATGAAATACAAAAAAAAGTGCATTTAGGAAGAGAAAAGGATAATATTGAGGGAAGTCGAGTTCATAAAGTCCAGGACTATTTCACACATATTTCAGAGCTTTTATATATAACTTGAGTTCGTTTTTAAAACAAGCAAAGTTAGTGGGACATTTCTGAATTTTACATTTGTGGATGTAAAATTTGGAACAACTTAACAAAACAACATCAGTACACCCAGGACACAGTGTTGGGAAGTTTACTTTTAAAATGTAATCCCCTACAGATTACAGATTACATACACCAAAATGTAGTTTGTAACGTAATCCATTAAATTACTTAAAGTGAGTAATGTAATCTGATTACTTTGGATTACTTGATTTGTTGTAGAGAAACAAAGACGAGGAAATCTTCACATACGATTTTGTCTGATAAAAGAAAATAAAAAGCCCAAACTTTACTGAACCAAATTAAAAATATTATTGATAGAAAACGAAGAAACACGTCCACACAGCATGGTCCTGTTAAATCCTGTTTTAGACCTGGTTTAGTCCTGGTTTAGACCTGGTTTAGACAAGGTTTAGATCTAGTTTAGACTTGGTTTAGACCTGGTTTAGATCTACGTTAGACCTGGTTTAGATCTGGTTTTAGACCTGGTTTAGTCCTGGTTTAGATCTAGTTTAGACGTGGTTTAGATCTAGTTTAGACCTGGTTTTAGTCCTGGTTTAGTTTCTGGCATCTACCGAAAAAAAAGGGCCATGTAATCCCTTTATTTCAACAAAGTAACTGTAATCCAATTACCACTCACTGAAACAGTAACTGTAGTTGAATACAGTTACTCATAAATTGTACTCTGATTACATAACTCTGGTACATGTAATCTGTTACTCCCCGACACTGCTTTTCTGTCCCATTTTTTTAGTTTTATTTTTTTCTTTCTTTCTTTCTTATTATTATTATTTATTTATTTTTTCTTTTTATTTATTTATTTATTTTTTTTTTCTGTCCCATTTTTTATGCTTACAAAACGTGCGTGATGACGTGTGTCGCGAGGTGGGCGTGTCCTCCGCGTCAGCCTGTGATAGCACGAGCCGTTAGCCTGGTTTGTAGTTTTTCGTGAGTTTGTAGTTTGACTTTGAGCTTCGGGTCCCGGACGGAAAAAACAAAACAAAACCTGGTTTAGACCTGGTTAGATCTACTTTAGATCTAGTTTAGATTTAGTTTAGACCTGGTTTAGGCCTGGTTTTGTCCTGGTTTTGTCCTGGTTTAGATTTAGTTTAGACCTGGTTTAGATCTAGTTTAGATCTAGTTTAGACCTGGCTCCGTTTCCCTCCGGAGGTCGAGGTCGAGTTGTTCAGAAGTGACACGAGGATGAAGAATTGAAGTGATTTAGTGATTTGGAGGGAAACGGAGAGTTTGTTCAACTTGTTCTGTTGTTTATAGTTTATCTGAAGAACTGTCAAATATGTGACGTTAGGGTTAGGGGTGTGTGTGTGTGGGTGTGTGTGTGTGTGTGTGTGTGTGTGTATGTGTGTGTCAGGTGCCCTCCCGCTACATAGAGATGAAGACAGAGGAAGAGAAGAGGGATAAAGAGGGATGGAGACAAGGAGAGCACTAAAAAGTGACAAGTCCTGATGTGACTAAACCAGGACTAAACCAGGACTGAACCAGAACTGAACCAGGACTAAAATATGGACTGAACCAAGACCAGGACTAATGTAAAACAGGACCGAATCCCTGGTGTAATTATGACAAAAATAGAACATAGGCGCCTCAAAAGCTTCACATTTCATTTTTATTATTATCACTGTTTTACTCACAGTCTGTTTGTCTTTCAATGATAAATGACTCACATCTAAATCCAAAATACAAACTGAAAATGCCCAAATCCAGAGTCCTTTTCCTCTTTAGACGTCCACAGACTGTAAAGAAATCGCTCGGCTCCAGTCAAATGAAGCTCATCGACGCCTGCGGTTACAGGGGAGAATTCAGAGCTGCATTTTAGGAATCGATTTACAGACAAAACAGCAAAATGAAAAACCCGGGATATCACGTAGAGCGGATTAATACGAACATTTTAAGAGCAGAACGATGAGGCTCGCAGCAGCAGTTACGGCCGACACACACTACAGGATTTTGAACCTTTTTTTTTTTTTTTTTTTTTTTTTAATATATGTTTATTCATTTCATTAGAGATATTAAGTGTCCATTTAACTATTTACCCGAGTGTAAGCACATCCATATGTCACACATTATATACATATACATATATATACATGCATATATATACATACACACACACCTACACATACATATATACATACATACATACATACTCTGTATTCATTTACCTTATGTTCATAACAATACTCCTTACTTGTTTATATACGTGTGTGGACACATGCATGCACCCACCCACATACGCACATGCATGCGTGCACACATATACATACATATACACATTTAAATCCGTGCACCTATATACATATAGGCACATATTCATACATATACATATATTTCATTACATTTTTTTTTTAACACTTCATATTATAAAGGCAGAGCCTAATATTATATCTATTTATATTCTCCTTGTGTGTGTATATATACATACATACACACATATATGTATACATATACACATACATACACACACATACATATAAACATATACATACATATATCTACACTCTTATTTTTCCCTTTAATCCCTTCCCCCGATTAATAACCCCTCACCAAACTAAATAAATAAAAATCACATTATGAATGAATAAACACACACATACACATTCATACATATTCACTCACTCACATACATCCATGCACACATCAAAGGTAGGATATACATTATCTTGTTTCTTGTATTACCGGTGCCCATAACTCCTCAAATTCCTTCATTTTAAATTGCAGTCTTACTACTGGGTGTACTGTAACCTGTCAGTAACCAGCAGACATGTGGACTTCAACATGCATGGACACACTCACACTCTAAACCCCACACAACATCTAGTCTGACACGCAGCTATTGTTTTGAGCCTCATTTGAACTGCTTTTCTGCTCTGAAATCTGTTATTGACATTTTAGTCTCTGTATGATTTTTATTTAAGTTGTAAACATGTAAGGCTAGTGCTTATAGAAGTTGGAAAGACGTTCAAGTTAAATACTTTAAACAATAATGTGTTTTACATCTTTTTCATCATTTTGATTTTATTGAAATTACAATTTTACATAACGAAACACAAATAAAATTAAACACAAAATAAAAACAACAAGGAACCAAAGAGCAAAAACTCAAAAGCCAAAACTGTACATATGACATTTTTCATGTTTGTGTGTGTGTTTTGTTTTTATAAAAAAAAACAAAAAACAAAAAAAAAACTGAAAATTATCAACACTGAAAATTCGATGGAAAAAAGCAAGAGCAATTTACAAGCAAGGAATGCTTTTTTCCTGACAGTTTAAATGGTTTTATTTATTTTTTATTCATATGTTTAATCATATGATAATGCAATTTAGTTAGGAAGTTAAATTATAATTTCACCTACTATTTTGTGAAATAAACACACTTTAAACACAAAACAACTCAATACATGTGTGCTAAAATGTTTTTAAACTTGTTCACACAGAACTCTTCCTGTTCATTGTGCCACAGTTATAACAGTTTCAACAGAGTTCATTTTCCATTCATCATCATTCCATAAAACAAACACTGAGAAACTGAGACTGTGTTTGGTGGAATCATGTGGCGCCCTCTACTGGTGCACCTCAGAATACACACACTCACTCCAGGTGTCGTCCCTCTGCACTCGGGAATGTCCGGATCTTTTGGGATGCACGGAGGCATAAAAGACGTCGCCGGGAAAAGGCTGAGTCTGCATTAAAAAAAAAAAAAAAAAAAAATATATATATATATTATATATATATATATAACAATAATAATAATAATAAAATAAAAAAAAATAAAATAAAAAGATTGGAATGTTAGTATCAATTCATACAGAATAATACAACTTGAATTAAGTAGCTGGTGCCCACAGCAACTTCCAGAATAACTTGAATTGTGAATGATGTACATAACAAATGGTAAAATCTTACCCCTGATTTGTCAGATGATCTTGTACCTTATAAAAGATTAAAAAAAAACATAAATAAATAAAACATGCAGATTTATTTGGTTATATTATTTTAATAATTTAAATATAGATACATATTAATTGCAATGCCATAGTGGAACATTCCTGACAATGTAATAACATCTCCATGGAGACAAGCAGGTGGTGCAGCAGAAAAGTACATGTACGTAATGCAACTGTAAACATGCACTGTAATCTTTTCAGTTTCAATCTTTAAAACTGATTCAAGACAAATGATTAGAGTTTGTTCATAAAACTTTTCAGAACTTTGAAGAAGGCAAAATAGATTTATTTACAGCAAACATTACATTTTGAGCTGTTATTATTTCCCATTACAGTTATGTTTTAGTCCAGCTTGAATGTACAGTTGGAAATGTAATTTTATCAAATGTCAAAACCTTCTTTTCAAAATTCATATGATAATTTTTATAGTGTGCGGGTCCTTCTCCCACATGTACAGAACACCCACGATGTTGTTTCTTTCCTGTATGACTGAAAAGAAATCTATTTACATCGGTTTGTTCCGTTTGTATGTACCTGTTTACTGTTTTAAAAATGTGAAAAACAGAAGAAGTTTTTTTTTTTTTTTTTTAAATAGTTTCCAGTGGTCCAAAGTTCTTCCTCACTTACCTTATGTAAGTGTTACCTGATCATCCTAATTATTCACTGCTCTGAGTTCAGAAGTGTGTTTCACAACTCTAAGCAACCAGCAGTGTTGGGGAGTAACAGATTACATGTACCGGAGTTACGTAATCAGAGTACAAGTTATGAGTAACTGTATTCAGTTACAGTTACTGTTTCAGTGAGTGGTAATTGGATTACAGTTACTCTGTTGAAATAAATGGATTACACTGCGGTATTTTCCTATTTTTGGTAATTCCACTCATTGCTGGAAACTAAACCAAGTCTAAACTAGATCTAAACCAGGTCTAAACCAGGTCTAAACCAGGTCTAAAACCAGGATTAAACCAGGACTAAAGCTAGATCTTAAACAGGTCTAAACCAGGACTGAACCAGGACTAAAACCAGGTCTAAACTAGATTTTAACCAGGTCTAAACCAGGTCTAAAATAGGTCTAAACCAGGTCTAAAATAGATCTAAAACCAGGTCTAAAACAGGACTAAAACAGATCTAAAACCAGGTCTAAAACAGGACTAAAACAGGTCTAAAACCAGGTCTAAAACCAGGTCTAAAACCAGGTCTAAAACAGGACTAAACCAGGATCTAGCAGGATTTAACAGAATTTAACAGGACTAAATCATGCTGCATGGACTGTGTCTCCTCCTCTTCTATCAATAATATTTTTAATATGGTTCAGTAAAATCTGGGCTTTTTATTTTCTTTTAGCAGATAAAACAAAACATCTTATGTGAAGATTTCCTCATCTTTGCTTCTCTACAGCAAATCAAGTAATCCAAAGTATTCAGATTACGTTACTCACCTTAAGTAACTTAATGGATCATGTTACAAACTACATTTTGGGGGATGTAAACTGTAATCTGTAGGGGAATACATTTTAAAAGTCACCTTCCCAACACTGGCAACCAGAGCGGAGTTTTCCAGTCATAGTAAAGTTATGTCAGTCCTGTTATTTCAATCCTCAATAATTATTTTACTTTTTTTTTTTTTTTTTTTTTTGCCTGCTCTGACTGTGATGTTGTGTTTTGGTTGAGTTCAGACCTTGTCCATGGGCCAGTCTGAGAGCAGAGACACAGAGGAGCACGGCCAACATGACGGTGAACGCCAAAGCTGCACTCAGCACGTACACCCCCACCGGAGTCTCGGTTTCTGTTCAAACATCATTCGATTATGAGAAAAATGCATACCGTACATTCAATTATTTCTGTGATCCTGAAGATTCTGTAGGTTTCTTTAAAGAATTCTATGTAGTCTGGTTTAGATAGTGATGAGATTAAGAGTCATGAGTGAGGATCGTTCTGCTTTCTGGTTCTGGAATAAGCATCATTTGTTCATTATGTCCAATGTTTTTTGTAATTAAGAATAAATCAGCATCACATTTGTATACCTGGCTTTGTTTCATTCATCATACATGTGCACAAATGCTTACTTTACTTCACTACTTTCTACATTTAGATACATACAGAAAACATCAAACGTCAAATGATATACGGAATTGTGTAGGAAGAGGAAAAAACCTCAAATAGTTTGTACTTGTTATGTTCAAATCATCATTGCTTTGTTGACAATGATGGAAGAATTTGGCCTTCTCTCAATGAGCTTCTTCTTCTGAAACGGTTTTCACTTCATAACTGTGCCATGTTACGGTCAAGACATGTTAAGAGTGCAAAGCTCAAAGTTCAAAGCAAAGGGTGGCTGTTTTTCAGTCTGAAACAAGTTATGAGTTTTCACAAGATCCATAAGAGATCAGAACCACGGATAATGATAAATATATGAATTTAATCTTACCGTACAATTTCAGGTTTGTCCCGTTCCCGAACAGGACTTGTCCACAGGCGACCACAGCGCAGTAGTAGGTCCCAGTCTGCTCTGAGTTCACGTTGTGTATGGGCAGGTTGTAGACACAGGACTTGGTTGGACTTTTTCCATTTTTCTTGCACTGATCATCTCTGCTCCCTCCTCCTCCGTGGCTGTAAAGGACTCCTGCATGTCTGTCTTCTCTTGCTCTGAACCAGTAAACATTCCGCTGTCCATCGCAGTTTGTCAAATTCACCAAACACTGAAGATTCACGTTACTTCCCGGTTGAATCGTCTCTTGCAACTCATCTTGTCGATCCTTTCGCGTTTCTACCGTCAAATCTGCACTTTTCACAACCACCATGGCACTGACTTCGAAGTTATACATGTACGAATACCCACTGACGCAGTAATAGGTCGCAGAGTCGGACATACGTAAATCCGAGATGGTGAGGTGATTCTGGAAGTTCCCGTTTTTGATAGAAAGTCTGGGATTGTTCTGGAAGTCGCCAATAAAAGTGCTGTTTTTCTCATGTTTGTAAAAGCGAGACATGACGATAGGTTTTTGGCCTAAAATTTGCTTGTACCAGTAAAACATGACAGCTACGCTGCTCGAACCAAAAGAGCACTCCAATGTGACGCTGTCCCCAATATTTACAACGGTGATATTTGAAGAGGTTGCGTAGGTTGGTGTTGGTAGATGAGCTGTAAAATAACAGTTTTTATTAAACAAAATAGTGTCCCGAACATGCTCTTAATGATAAATGATAAAAATGTCAAAGCCACAACTTACCCAGAGCCCACACGAATAAACAGCACAGAGCTAAAGTAGGCCACCTCATTTTGCAGACCTGGACGGAGCAGTTTTGTGCACATTCTCAGCACATTCTCTCCTTTTCAAGACACACGGCTGTTTGATTGGCCAATCATGTTTTGTCTGTAGATGTTCCCCTAACCTGCTCACTCTCAGGACTCCATGGTACTTTTCATTAAATATTTTGTTATTAAAAAGTGATAACTACAGTGACTCAGAACTTAACAGACTCAATAATGTACAAGAAATGTTACACTGTGCAGGAAGAGACACTGAGCGCCAATTATAAAATAATAGTTACAACACTGTTATTAATGACATTAAAATGTAAGGGTATTTAAAGCCACAGTATGTAACTTTTTTAGCCAAAAAATACACTAAAACAAAAGCATGTCTTTATAGCACTGACTTCTCCATAAACCTGACTCTTATTTATCCTGCAGGGCCTCTCCCTCCTTCAGGCTACATATTTGCAAAATGTTCCTTTGGCTGTAATTTTCCACAGTTTTGCATAAAATATATTTATCTCCATGGAGAATGTTCCGTATGTGTGGTTGATCGCACAGACGTGCCACCTCCAGAGAGTTTCATACCTAAAATAGCATATGAATGATTATTATTAAATTTGCACTTAGATTTCCTGTGACTAACATTCAACGCCATTTCTTCCTCTATCTTCTTATATCAAGACACTCGTGCATCTTCTCGTGGAGAGTTACCACCAGTTTGTCTGGAGATGTTGCTTTGTTATGACTCTTTTACAGTATGACATTAGGTAAACATGTCTGTATCCATGAAGTAACAATGTATGTTTCAAATATGTCTTGTGCAGTAAAAAAACCCCGCAACTGAACAAATATGTTTATACAATATGTTTAATGTCATACTGTGGAACATTCCAGGCAAAGCTATAACATCTCCATGAAGAAGTGTGCAATGTGTGTGTGTGACTGATTTTATAACTGGATGATGAAAATTGCCTGTCACATACTTATGTCTATTAACTATATAATAAAGGAAAAAATAATTTATTATGAAATTTAGGATAGTCATCATTTGAAATGTAGACGGGTCTGTGGGTGACATCGAAACTTAGAAACTAAAAATGGCACTGTTTAATGCTGATGAAGCATGTACGGGGGGAAAAACAAAACACATATTTTTGATTGAGGTCAGTGTGGCCTGGTTTAGTTTTCAGACAGCGTGGGCTGTTTCATAATGTTTAGTCATAATTACAGAATATATTACATTACAATAGGATTAAAATAAACTTTATTAACATGTGCAACATATTTACAAGTCAATACAAATCATGCATAATGTTATTCACAAGCTAATGTTCTTTTAAATACATTGTTACAGGAGCTAGGTCATCTTGTCTTTCCCGTATATGTTTGTTGTGTGATAGACCACTCTTCCTGTCTACTTTGTGGTAACATAAGACATCTTCAACTGTCTACAAAGGTGTTATTTAGTTCATTCAAAAATTCAGTTTAAAGATTTTACCAAAAAAAAAAAAAAAAAGTATTTTAAATTTTGGTGAAGTATAATTTTTCTTCCTGGTGGGACACGAGCTGCTGATATGAAGTAATTATAATATTAACAACTGCCAAAACTAAATCACACAATAGTGATGATTAGTTTAGTCAAAATTGCTGACAAAATCTTTACTTTGTTAAATGAAGGTTTTCCCTTGTGTGTAAATTGTTACAGCATTTTGCATAGAATTTTCAGTATTTTGAATTTAGAAGTAAGGTCTACTTTGAGTATTTTGTACTTTTATTTTCAACTCTTTCCATAAATTCCATAAATGTGTGTGTGTGTGTGTGTGTGTGTGTGTGTGTGTGTATGTGTATATATTATATATATATATATATATATATATATATTATATATATATATTTATTTTTTTTTTACATATATATATATATATATACATACACACACACACACACACACACACATATATATATATATATATATATATATATATATATATATATATATATATATATATACATATATATACCACAGGTAATATCAAACATCAAACTAAGTAATAATTTGAAAAAAACATGAAAAAATGTCATATGCACTTTAACGTCACTTCATAATGATCATAACGTTACATATAAAGTGTACGGTGGGAACAAGATTACATATTACCTCTATACATACTGCACATACCACATCAAAACTGGAACTAAACTTGAACTAACCCAAAAACTAGACCAGGACTAGGACAGTATGAAAGCAAACAGGACTAAGCAAGACCAAACCACATTATAATGTTCTCTCGTCAACACAGAGACTCAGATAAAGTAGGCCATCTGTCCCCTCTACTCTTCTGTCAGCACATCCCCCACCTCTGTTGTCTAACATCTGTATTGTGATGCCAGTAGTGCAAATGTTTTAGACAGATTGAAATCAATTTATTTATTTATTTATTTATTTGAGACAGGGACAGCGCACAATTTTCGCATTAACCTTGACAGGAGAGATGCATTGTACATCAGGTTGTAGCATCAGTGCTAATTTCCACCTGTCGTCCCTGGACAGGTTCATTGATTGATTGTATTTAACTGACCTTGACTATCAACTGTTCTGGAGACCTGTAGCATGTTTTCACACTCCCCACTTTTGCCAGCAGAGGGCGTCATACCTATAGTCTTTATCAATGCACTGAACACAGAACTGATATGCACACTACATTAACAGAGCACTAAGTAACATGTCTAGTGGAGGGTCTCTCACTTGCTTGTTTCCATGGAGATGCTATGACTTTGCCTAGAAGGCTGCACATTATGGCATTAAACTCATGTATCTCTTGTGCAGCCAGGTTACAGGTCAGATCTGTGGAGAGGAGACCTAGTCAGGTTGGTGCCATCTAGTGCCTCTGCTCATTTCATTTCTCTCCAGTGACTAGGCCAGGAATCAGAATACACTAGACCAGGGGTGCCCAATACGTCTATCACGATCTACCAGTCGATTGCCAAGGTCGTGTGTGTAGATCGCTGTGTCTTCTTAATACTCGTCTCGGACTTGATCGCATTTGGACTCGGTCTTGTCTCTCACTCAAGGTCTGACACTCAACAAGTGTCATATTTCATTACGGCCGCTGCTGTTGGTAATAAACTTGTAGCGGGGTGCAGGAGCGTGTGGGGCGTCTCAGTGCAGCCTGTGCGCTCATTTGAAACCCGCGGAGACTCTACGGCACATCACAAACACACACGCTCCCTATGCACGGCTCGTCTGCGACAGCGTGTGCCCTCGTGTACCAGCGTGCATCACAGGGCAGGTTCAACTTCCTAAACATCCTACCTGTCCATCTGCCTCACGTCAGCACGCCGCCCCTCGCCTTTTCACGCTCTCACCTTCCTGCGTACAGCGAACACAAGCCCCTCCCACAGTGCGGCTGATTAGAAGAGCAAGACAAAACGTGAAGCAAAAACGAGTCTAAATTTGTGTTCCAGTGTTGGCACAAAGCAGGTCTACAGCATAGAGCAGATCTACAGAACAGACCTACTGCCACATTTGGCTGAAGTTTGCCTAACAAAAGTGCACAAATGCATCTGTGTTTGTCACGATGTGCGTTTGGTTTGGTAAATGTGCAGCGGCTGGTAAATATCACTGCAAAACCAGAAAAGAATGCAACTCCAGTTTGGAACTTTAAAAACAGGTTTAAAAATCTTCCTTCACTATTTCACAGTTTTGTGTAAAGTGCCAGAGGAAGTTCTCTTAAAGAAGGGGTTCTCAAACTGTGGGTGAGGGTCCAAAAAGGGGCACAGAGTGTTTCAGCGCAGTTTACTTGGCTTTGTATTAGGTAGATCATTATGACTTGGTCATTTTGTAAGTAGCTCACATGCTGAAAAAGTGTGAGCACCCCTGGGCTAGACGGTTTGCAAGAACCCCAGAAGTTGTAGAGTGTGCACCGACCAATCAGCCGTGAGCTGTGAAGCCATGACGTCAAATTCGTCACGTCTGTCTTTTTATGGTACAGCACAACAGTAAACAAAGCGTCGAGATGGATGTAGATGAAGACAGACATTCTGTGTTGGCAACAATTCCCAAGATCAAGGATTTAAAGCCGGAACAAGGAGAATGTTTGATGAATTTTATCAAGGGGAAAGACGTTATTGCCCTTCTTCCTACGGGATTTGGGGCATTACATATGACCAAATAGTGACAATTGGTTAAATAAAAAAAAAAGTACTGTCTGTCGGCCAAACGAATCCTAATGCTGCGAGGTCAGACGGTTTCTACGAAGTAAAACCAACTGGTGAATCAGGCTAGAGGTGACCTGTTCACTGTAATGCATGTTTAAGTATGTTTAGCAAATAAAAAATAAAAATAAATGTATCCCATACTGTGTAACATTCCTGCAAAACATTAACATCTTCATGGAGACAACTTGGTGGCGGACCCTACACCAGAAAAGTTATTCATAATATTTAAAAATGTAAATATCCATAAGTCATCATTCTCTTCTGCTTCTGACACTGGAATATGTACAGGCATTTCCAATAGGATCTTCTTGGTTCTCTGGGACAGTTTTCCGATTTATGTCCAAGGATGCGTAATAGATGTCTGTATCACTCTGAAAACATAATAAAAATAGATATAAATTCTTTGTAGTCTCATAGTTTTTATTTCATTTAAGACCTGTACCAATTTTTTCCCACACATTTGAGCGAAAAGCGTCACATATATTGTATAAGCAGCTCTTGAGGTCAAAATAAATCTGCTGTGTGCTGTCTGCATTGAAATAAAAAACATTGTATTGTCCAGTAATCAGGAAGTTCACGTTTGCATGCTAGTTGTTAGTTGTTAAGGGCTGTTCACACCAAGGCGTCAAAGCGTCCAGTTTCTATGTAAAGTCTATGTGGACGCGCAACTAGAGCGTCCTGCATTTTTTGTGGCGCTTCTTCGGCGTCAGAGCGGCGCGAATCTTGCGTCAACGTGGCGCGTCTTGAGTGTTTTCGCGTCGACGGTCTAGACGCGCGTCCAAGGCATCAGCGTCAAGAAGTTGAAAATGCTGAACTTTTCGCGTCAGACGCACCACGTCAACCAATCAGCGATCCAGTGACGCAGCGACGTTATTATCAGGAAG